GTATTCCTGCCTGCCATGTCAAAATTTCATGGTGATATCCTGAACACCGAGGAAGTTATGAGCAAAATTAGAAAACAGCAAGGTGAAATGGTCACAAAGGCCACATTGGTTCTGCTGTGAACTGCAGCAAGAAAACATGAGCTGATTTCACCTGAACAAACATCAATAACTTCCCTCATACTTCAGATAATCACATGATTTTTGGTGTTATTTTGTATGGTTTGAAATGCTCTTTTGGAATCTGCTGTCAGATTTAATATTGGTGTAGGATTAAAAATTTATCCACATCCCTAAATAATATCAAGTTAAAAATGAGAGACGACAGTCGACACTCAAATGATCTCATTTTATTAATTGAAAGGGATCACAAAGTAATTTTTATAAATGGTAATGTAATCCTTCTGGATACAAATCAAGGTGCTTTTTTTAGCTGTTATGTATTTTTTCAAACATAACTATAGTCATGTATCTATATATCTATATTTAAAATGACTATGATATACTTATCTTCATTAATATTTATATACAAATAATATTTCTCTTACCTTTTGTGTATTTATTCCAGAAATTATCCTATACAATAAAAAAGAACAGGTCATGACTGTGCTGCGGTCTGCTGTGAGGTGTTTTGATATTTATAAAACACTTAAAGCATTACGTACTGTGGCAGGGATGTTTTCAAACACCTCCCTTGCTTCCTCATAGTTGCAGACTTCTTCCATACATTCCCTCTCCAGGTTGCCTTGCACGAACATCTCGAAGTCAAACCGATTGAACAGCAGGTGGCGCCCCAGGAACGAGTTGGCGTCGCCTTGGTCCACAAACACTGCCGCACAAACAGGTGTTAAAAAAAGCGGAAATTTATTATCTGGACATGTTAGGGACAGTTTAGTGAGTAAAAAAAAAAAAAAAAAAAAAAACACACACACAAACGTCTCACCTTCTTGGGTGTCTGCTCCCTCATGTTCAGAGAGTAGTTTCCGCAAACAGGCCAGGTGTCCGCCGCTCAGCAGTTGAAGGAAGCCGAACAGAAACAACAACATGACGGTCCCCTTCGCACGTAAAACCCACCTGTACGTGAACGAGACACACACACGCGACTCAGCACCACTTCATTTTCTCTCTTTACTGTTAAAGAAACATAACCGAGTCCCTTCGTTTCACTTTACCTAGGAAAAGTGACGCATACTTGTCCGCTGGGCAGAGTTCAGCGACAGGGAAATGTTRGCTGAAGGGAGGAGCGGCAGAACAGGTGAGCTGTGATGGCCCGTCAGACTCGACCAATCGAAAGCCTATCTATATCTGTTTTCTACTTTTGTTTGTTTTCAGCGTATAAGTGTGTTTGTACTGTTTAACCCGTTCAAATACACGTGATATTAAATAAAACGCATAAAAACGATGACGTATACTGGTTAAGTTTGTCAAAATAAAAGTAGATATCAGCTGCGTGTCAGATCAAACAGCATTAATAGTTTTCATAAAGTTTTGAAAATTTACTTTAATAT